GAGTAGCCTTGAGCTGAAGAGCTGAGGGACAGTGCCTAGGCCCAGAGTTCAGGTCTCACGACCGACCAAAAAAAAAAAAAGTCAAGTGAGAGAACAAAGTTTGAGTCCTGGTATTGGCATACAAAAGTAAGTAAAATATAAAGAAAAAAGTTATTTTTGCCTCAGAATCTTGGAGATTTCCATCTGTGATTGGTTAGTATCTGTTCCATTGGCTGGGAGGCGCAGTGTAGAACACTAACAAAGAAAGAATGAAGAAAAAAAGGAAAGAGGAAATAAAAAAGCAAAAAAACCCCGAGAGGACAGAGAGAGATTTAATTAAGCAAAGTAAGGCAGTAAGCAAGCAAGGCAGATCTGAGCTCAGAATGCAGATATCTTGATCTTCATTCAAGGACTTTTGCCAGCCTTTCTGACCACTCTAAACCATCCATGGTTTTTGAGATACTATAGCTTTCGCATTGTCTTATGTGCCATCAGACAGACATAATCTCTAATAGAATAAATGGAATGTTTTTCTTGGGAGTTGAAGTACTGCATTATAACTGAAGCATCAGGCAGAACTACAAATTTTAATTAGACAACTGAGCATTGTGTGCCATAAGCAGCCATTCTCCTTCATGAATGCATATATTCTAGTGTAGCATTTTTCAGTGGAGAATAAGTTCTCTCAGAGGAATACAAATCTCTGTTTTCCACAAATCTAAGAGTTGGTGACAGACTCGAAGAGGCTGTGAGTTAAGACAGTGAGTCGTGGTACTACTGTATTATAGATGAGCATATTTGAAAATGGCTTTTTCCTGCATCATCTAATAGAAGACTAATGGAAATCAGAGACATGGGCCATGTCCCTTCCTCATTTTACCAGATTAGCATCAATTCCCTGAAACTAACCCAAGACATATTTTCCACCAATAATAATAATAATATCTGTAGAATCCTTGTTCCCAAGGCAATAACAGATGCTCCCTTTCTGTATTTTCTTCAAATCTACTTAGAAAAGAAGTCTGTTAGAGCTACATACTGGTGTTTTTTTTTTTTTTAGTATTCATGTATCTTATGTATATATTTGATTTGTACTCATTTTAAAGTCAAAATACATTTGAGGAATAACAGTGGCTAAAAATTATTGAAAAACTTAGTTTCTCCCTATTGTGATCATAACTCATTTAGTCCTTAGAACAACTGATATGATAAACTGAGGCCCAAAGAGTGAACATCTAAGTGGTAGAGCTGGGTTAATTGAGAACCTGTTGACAGTGCTTTGCTCTTAAGAATTTGTCTCAGAGGAGACATCTCTGCAGGGTCAAAGAATGGCACCGAGTATGAGACACTCTGGTCCGAGTGGACTTAGGAGCTTTAACAACAGGATTCATTTCATGATAGCTGACTGATGGAAGAACATGGGCTGGATTTCAGAACACCACACTTCACGCCCTTGACAAGACCTTTGAGAAGCAATAGATCTTACTGCTCTGAGATATTGACTCACAACAGCATGTTAGGAATTGCTGGAAGTATATGCATATCCCACTATTCGATCTGTGTACCCACGTCTGTATTCAGATGTATCTATGAAGAGAAAAGGGGACGGGTGAGGACAGATATGTTCTCAAGGCTCAGTATAGTCACTGCCATGAACAGGTGCTCAATAAGCATTTGTTAAATGATGTGTGGGGCTTCAGAAAAGGGATGAGTCCATACAGAGAAGATAATGTTCAAGTCCAGCTGAGCCTTGGCCTACAGTAGGTGTGTACATAGGCAGAGAGTAGGTAGGAATAGATTGAAAACAGGTATTTCATAAAATAAGACCCACACAATTAGGAAGACATAAGTAAAGAAGATAAATTGGAACATGGCTTACTTTAAAGCTTAGTCCATCCAATCAGCCATCCATCTGTCCATCCATCCATCTACACAATCATCCATCCATCCACTCATCCATTTGCCATCCATTTACTTAACAAATGATGGATCAATCACAGTATCACTAATAATACAATAGGAAACATGATGGATAGGTTGGAGCCAGAGTCTGAGGCATCTGGGATGCTAAGCTCAGAAAGGTGCATTTTAACTTAAGTCATTGATAGTTTCTGGGCCCTGGAGAGAAAGTCCAAAAGTTTAATGAAAAAGAGTAGACTAACAGAATTAAACTAAATTTACTGGAGAGAAATGGTGTGGGAAGCAGAGATTCCACTATAAGGAAATATCAAGGGCCCTTCAGAGGAGGACAAGCTATGGATCGAGGTGATATTGGATAAGGAAGGGCTGGGAAACGCATGGATTTTGAATGTGTGGTAGGGGCACAAACTGTGGGCCCAGTTAGACAAATGGGAAGAGCAGCCATCGGCAATACCAGCTCTTCTGGGAGGCAAGAGAAAGATGGAAAAAGAGGAAGGCTTGGAATGGTGTTCTGAGCTCATCTCTTAAACTTAATAATTATACCTTAAGATCTGCCTGTGTCTAATATTAGTGAAATCTTCTAATATCTGATGCCTACCATAGAGATCCGAGTGTCTAAGAGGCCCACCAGCACTGACCTGTCATAGCAAAAAGGGTCGAAGCATAAATGGAACTTAAAGTTTCAATGATGATAGGTAACCATCCTTTTTAAATTTGAGTACATCAATTTAAAAAGAATGCACACTTTAAAAATACATAAAATTGGGTTATGCAAAAACACAAGTTGTATATTTCTTCTTACAAACTCTTAATATCAGAATGGACAGTAATGCCTCAAGAAAGTTTTTTTCTAGCTGGGCACCAGTGGCTCACGCCTGTCATCCAAGCTACTTAAGAGGCTGAGATCTGAGGACCGTGGTTCAAATCCAGCCCAGGCAGAAAAGTCTGTGAGACTCTTCAATAAACCACTCTGAAAAAGCCAGAAGTAGTACCATGGCTCAAGGCTCAGGGACAGTGCTCAGACCTTGAATTCAAACCCTCAGACTGGAAAAAAAAAAGAAAGCATTTTCAAACTGTATTTGCCTAGAGAAAGGGTTTATAAATATTCCTCTGTTTTTCTCTTCTTCTATAGGCAATACATTGCATTGATTGCAATGGTTGCTTTGATCTAGCTACCTCTAGATCAGCCGTAGAGTAGTAAAGCTTGGATAATGGAAACCCTCCAGTTACTTTCACTTTATCTTTTCTGTAAGCTTATGTCTTAGCCTCTTTTGTCAAGGCTTTTTACTCACCTGGAGCAATTTGTATTCGGGTTCACCCACTGACCTGACCCACCTTTCTGATTAAGAAGTTGTGAGCAGGAGAAGGGTGAAATGATGGAGAGCAGTAAATACCAGAGTATCTGATAGTTCAACCACTTCTTTGATTTCAATCACTGACACTTAGGTGGTAAGCAAGTACAGTGGCTCCACACTGAAATGACTATCTCCTGTCTTATTTTTGTGCTAGATGATAACAGATACTTTTCCTTAGCAATCATTGTGTTCCTTTCATATCTTGGAAATCCTGGGGTTGGAAAGAACATCAAAAATTCTTCATGTTTCATTTCCCACTAGCTGACAGAAGTATGTCCACACTGTCTGAGTTAGATTGTGGTCTGTTTTGTTCTTCAAGTCTTAGGTTTGGAGAATGGTCATTGGACAAATGGTGTGAGTGCGTTCATTGGCATTTTGTTTATAACAGGTTGTAGTTCTGATGATAATTCCTTCTCCAATGAGCAAAAGCATAAAAACAAGCACACATAGATATGCTCCAAAATGCAACCTGCTATTATTCTCTGTGTGTGTGCATGTGTGTGGCATGTGTGTGCATGCACATGCCTATGCATAGACCAATCCTGGAACTCAGGGCCTCTATGCTCTCCCAGAGTTTTTGTGCTCAAGGCTAGCACTCTACTCTTTGAGCCACAGATCTACTTCCATCTTTTTTGGGGGGGAGGGGCAAGTGAATTGGAGATAGGAGTGTCATGGATGTCTTATGAACAAAATACTACAAACCTTCACATTTCCTTGTAAAGCAACCTACACCTCTCTCGAAGTTTTTATTGGAGACTAGTTAGGAAAAAAAGAATCAAAAGCCACCAGGAACTTGTGGCACAGGTCTGTAATCCTAGCTTCTCAGGAGGCTGAGATCTGGAAACTACAGTATTGAAGCCAGAATGGATAGAAAAGTTCATGAGATTCTTATATCCAAGCAGCCAGTTAAAGGCTTGGAGCAGAGCTATGGCTCAAATAGTAGAGTGCCAGTGTAGAGCAAAAAAGCCAAATGAGAATTTGAGGCTCCAAATTCAAATCCCAGGACCTGCACAAAAAAAGGAAGGAAGGAAGGAAGGGAGGGAGGGAGGGAGGGAAGGAGGGAGGGGAAGAGAGGGAGGAAAAGAAAATATATCAATGATTGCATTAAAACTTCCCTGTGGCCTGATAAGAAGTTGGGGGATGTTTAAGTTTTTCTTGTAGCTTCGGTGGTGCATAGCTAGTTTTCTTATCTAAATCTCAGCTATATGTTTAAAATTCTTCCTTTTATAAAGGGTTCCAGGTTCCTTTCTGGTAAAGTTGGAATGGGTCTAAAGGAGATTATTAAGTTCATACCATGATACAAGTGTTTTACTTCAGTGATCAGAATACACATACAATGGCATTGATGACTGTTAAAATTGTATGCTGACTTATGTTGCTATGGGGGAATTGGTTTTTCCATTCAGAAGAGTAAGAGGAAGCTCCCTTTCCCCCATCTTGCTCTATGTACTCTATTATGGAAACAAAGGGCTCTTACCTCATAGCCTATTGATATGTCAAGTAATAAATGTGACAGTTACCGGTTCTATTCTCCTGATCCTGTCTTCCTGCAGAACTGAAATGTAACATGCTTCTTACTAGTAACAGATGCGTGAGCCCTTTCTTTGAAATTCCTCCCAAGGAGCTGCCCCGTTGATTCCATTAGACGGGAAGCGGCTTTGCACCAATGTCTGGGGAGGGGGGGGAGTATTGTTCTAATTGCTGTTGTGCCGACTCCTCACCGAGTACCATGCTTTTCTCTTGTAGGTGATGTGCCTTCAGGACTTTTTTGGTGATGATGACATTTTTATTGCATGTGGACCGGAGAAGTTCCGTTACCAGGATGATTTCTTGCTAGATGAAAGTGGTAAGTTAAAAAAAAAAAAAAAGTTCAAAACCAGGGAGAATTTGAGGCAGCTTTCCAAAATGAACTGCATCAGGCCAAGATTATGTCAACTCCAAAGCCACCAAATCAGTTTCAGACCCTCCATCAACATGTCTTTCCTATATCTTGAATTTCTTTGATTTTTTAAAAAAAAAATATAGAAAACAGATGAAATGATCATTGAAAAGGTTAAGTCGTATGGGAGAATAAATTACAAATGGCTCTCTTATAACCACTTGATATCCAAGGAGACAGTTTCTAGAAAACCAGGGTGTTGATTTCTGTATTTTAATTTCTTTATTTTCCTTACAATTTATAGTTGAGGGATTTGGAATCATATTATTTAGCATGTTCCTAGGCCCTGCTTTCATGTGGTATTCTTTCATTGCTGACTAAGGAAGAAAGGTTTGATGTCCCTTTTCCCTTAAATCTACTGGAATTTGCATGTCATTAGCATCTGGAAGTTATCAGGAAAGAGGAAGGTAATTTCCTTTCATTAATAAAGGGAATATGATTCTCCATAATTGATGAAGAAGGGGTGGTTGACTCAAAAAGGGGAAAACAAGTGATGAACAAGGAGGTGAATGTGAAAGGTTCTGACTTTTAAGAATATTGTTTCCTTTTCTGGTCTTGTGAATCATCTTAGACTCTTAACAGCATTGTAAGTAATAGCATTGTGTCAGAGTTTCATCCTTCAAAATATCACCTCTAATTTAATTAGGGAATTGTCACATAATTATTGACAATTCAGACAATCTGGATAAAATGTGTTTTAAGGTTATATGAATTTTTCTTCATTATTCAGTAGAAAAAAAACACAAATTAATGAACTTTTGACAAAGCAAATGGTAATGCCTGAGCAAAGATGATAGGATCCCTGATATGACTGAATGGTCTCACTTTAACACTCAATCAAGATACAGATACTATATTCACATATATGGATATAGTATATATGATACTATGTATAGATACTAGATGTAGATAGATATTCGATATACACACTACATTCACACACACTGTTTTATATGTACAGAATATACAGCCATAGGCCATGTAACAATATTTCCGTCAGTGACAGAACATATGTCCCATGGTAGCTCCATGAGATCATATCACCTAGTGACTCATCCCAAGTCACGTAAGTCCATTCTTTGCTGTTTATAGACAACTAAGTTACCTAAGGATGCATTTCTCAGTCCCAACATTAAATAGGCCATGGTTATATGCATATTATTAGTTATATGCATTTAAACAGCTACAATTATTTTATATTTTTAAATGATTTTGGGTATGGAGGGATAATTGCTTCTTTATCATGGGAATTTCAAACACTCAGTGGAGCTATATATAGATGTTCTGTATGAAGAGATTTATTTTTGGCTCAAAGATCCTATCTGGACAAGTGGTTTAGCATCTATGTTCCTCTAAGTTTTCTCTAAATACATTTCATCTTTATAACTGATAGACATGCCCTTTAGGCACAGATTTTGTAAACATATCACTCATAAAGTGTCCCTAAGAAATGACACCCCCAGCCCTTCCTTCACCCCTGTTTAAGGAGAAGACAGCTTTGCCATGGTCCAGAACAAGTGAAATGTTTTGAGTCAGGCAGCAGAGCTAACACCACTGTTTGGAGAAAAATAAACTGTCTTGATTTTCAATTTGAAGAAAATAGCTATGTCTGATAGAATGACCTGAGAGACCAGCTGTTTTCTGAAATGAAGTCCATTTGTTGCTTTGATATAGAAAATAGCCTGTCAGACTCCAACTGGAATGGAGCTTAGTTTCAAATCAACAGAGCAGGCTGTGGGTCTTCGCGCCCTCTGGTGTCCATCCAGGTCTGAGTAGACCTGGGATCTCCTATCCCATCTGGTCTGGCTTGGAAATCTGGGCAGCTGGTTTTCCCTCTCCTGACAAGATGGTTTTAACCCCAGAATTTGTGACCTATACTTCTTCATCTGTCATGACAGGCAGGTAGACTTTCTAAAAAGCAGAACAGAAAAGTGCCAGAAAATAACCCTCCAAATTCTCTTTAGAATGCTTTCCCATTAGCAAAGGACACGTGGAGTGGGAGTGTCAGTGACAGAGCACGTGAGAAAACCCTGCATGTGTGATCCTCAGCACCACAAGAAAGAAAAGACACGTGTACCTGAGCGCACATGTACACACACACACACACACACACACACACACACGTGCACTGAAGGACATCTTGCTTAGCTTGTGGTCTGGTCCTTAGAGAGATCACTTAGTCCATTTAGGTGAGCCCATCTGTTCCCCCTGACAAATCCATCCTAACTATTTTGGGGGGTGAAATACATTTACTGAGTATCATGTCCTCCCGCATTCTGGAAGAAACACGTGGATATACGGGGGAGGGAGAGTCAAGCTATGGGGGGGGGGGGGGGGAATCTAAATTGAGATTTTTTTTTTCACTTCCTTGGATGAACTTACCCTGAGTCTAAATTCACACGTTGACAACTGCAATTTTCTTGTTGCTTGTACAGCATGTTCTGGTGCTAATGTATTAAAATGTGAATCTTTTTATAAGTGCTTTGAGCATGATTTAGCCAAGCTTATCTGTACTTGCTAAATGGTATTTGTATATTGACGCTTCATTTGGTGGCTTCTGTAGTAGCTTCCTTAAAGGCATGTCGGTGGGGGGGTACCGACATCTTTGGAATTAATAGTCTCACCCTGTGCAGTGCTGTGCTTGATTTAATGGCGCCTAGAAGTGGCCTTTTGCCGCAAGGCACCACTTTTATTTTATCTTTCAAAATTAACCCGGTTCCTAGTGTGTTCGGGATTAGCAGTAATACATTCCCCTAATTACTGCTAGGAGAGCTCCTGAAAATGTTGCTTGGGGTCTTTCCAGTGAGGAATTTTGCCATTACAGTGATCACATGAGAGCCAGGTCAATATTGGAAACTGCTTGGGACCCTCTCTCCTCCTGTCTGTTTTTACATGCAGAATGAAACACCTTCCCTGCCTAGTTCAGAATGTGATCATTTTAGCAACATCATCATCAGTCAGTGGAGTCTTGGAAATGGTGGAGAAACACTAGAGGAGAGAGAGAGAGAGAGATGCACTCAGGCTGACAGATCCTTGGCATGCTTGGCTTGGTGTCTGATTTAGAATGAGTCAACCAAATTGCCAGGTTGGGGGACAGGAAACTCTACGTGGTGTTGCTTGGATGTTGGTGACAAAGGGATAAATTTGTGATTTCCTTGCCATTTGGAAGTGACAGGGCTTTCCTGAGAAATGTGTACCAGGCCTCTGGAAGGGGTAATTAACTCTTTGTTCATGAGCTTGAGATTAGATGTCACCTTGTGCCTACCTTCCACCACCAAAGCCAGTGTCTCCATACTTGCTTAATTTCTTAATCCACTTACCCCATTGTCATGGGGAGCATAATCCTGCCAGGTGTTACATGACCAGGAACCTAAATATCTCTCATCTGCTCTGTGTGTGTGTGTGTGTGTGTGTGTGTGTGTGTGTGTGTGTCCTAGGGCTTCAGCTCAGGACTTGGGAATTGTCTCTGAACCCTTTTGCTCAAGGCTGGCACTCTACCACTTGAACCACAGCTCCATTCTGGATCTTTTGGTATTAAATTAAATATATGAGTCTCATGGACTTTTCTTCCCCAGCTGGCTTCAAACCTCAATCCTCAGATCTCAGCCTCCTGAGAAGCTAGGATTAATAGTGTGAGCCACTGGCACCCAGGTGCTCTTTACTTTTTTAATATCTTGCTTGCTTTTGTTCAACTATTTCATACGTGCTCTTAATTCCAAGTTCAACAGGCACTATTTGAAGCTCACATATTTATACTTTCATGTTCCATTAGTAAGAGTAAAAAAGGATTCCAAACTGAGTGGCTTGAAAAGAAAATATTGAATATTCCCACTATAAAGAAATGTTTGATATGGTAAAATGCTAATTACTTTGATTTGATCATTACACTTTGCATAGATGTATTAAGATATCATAACAATAAAATAATAAAATATCATTCTGCACACCAGATACATGTACTGGGAGCCCCCCTCCCCACCCAGATTTATTGTCTTAAAGTTTTGGAAGCCCAAAGTCTAAAGTGAAGGCATGAGTAGTTTGCTTCAAATTCTGCAAGGCAGAATCCTTCCTTACCTCTTACAGTTTCTTGTGGTTTCTGGCATCCAGCATCCATTCCTTGGTATTCATTCCTTGTAGCAGCTTTACTGTAGATCAGTATTTGTGTTCAAATTTTCTTATTAACGGTCATCAGCTATTGGATTAGTTACCTTTGTCCACTTGAGAATATATACAGAGACTCTTTTCCCAAATTGTTACAAATCAATGGATATTGAGAACTACGACTTTATGGGGAACAAAATACCTAACAATCAATATTGCTGGGAACTTCCCAGATATTAGTTGATCTTGGATTACAAGTAAAGCAATTGTTATTTTTTAATCAGTCTTTCGCTTTGCACAGTGATAGCATTATATTTATAAGTAAAATACATGAAGCAACAGAACTGATATGATCATGTTCCCTGATCTAACCCTTCTTAGTTAGTATCCCTCAACCTGATTGGTTAGACAAATGCAGCCATAAGACAGTCTGAGAGTTTCAACAGTACATGTTACAGTTTTCTTCTTGAAATCTCTTTAAGACAAAAAAAGTATGTTCTGATGAAATAGCTTTTGTGATAGATTAGACTTCCCTGTCTAAAGATTTTGACATAGAGGTTGATACCCAATGTACTGGAGGAAATCTATATTTAAACTGGCCATCAAGGTTCATGCACCTAGAGTCACTATACAGGGGTTCTGTATTGGATGTTATGTGGCTTACCACTGTTAGAAACGCTCATTTGACAATGCCAAAAGTATGTGGATAGAATTCTCTGGAAAAGAAGCTAACATGGTTGAGGACCAAGTGAGGGCTACAAGGATTCAAGTAGAATAGATTCTATCTAAGAAGATAAAATCAAATG